TCTCCTGGGAACCTTCACAGATCCCAAAAGACTACCAGGCCAATCAGAATGCGCAGCGTTTCTTGCGCATGTGCAGTGGGTACCCAGCTGTGAAGCCACAAGCTGTCACAGCCTGGTGCCCACAGTTGTGATGCCATCACTGATGGGAGAAGAAGAGAAGGGACAGCTCGGGGTAGCACATCGCTGGACTCTGGGACAGGTAAGTGTGTGTTTATTAAAAGTCAGCAGCTACAGTTGTTGTAGCTGCTGACTTTGAATAAACACAAAACTGACTGGAACTCCGCTTTAAACACTTGCCCTCCAGAGGATGTTCCCCCCTTCATGGCCAGGCCATTTCTTGCTGTTCGGCACTGTGGTATTTCAACTGGTAATTGTGCAGTTGTTCAATTCTGTACCCCAATGAAATTTATGTCCTTTATTTCACACAAATAGAGCTTTCTTTTTGGTGGCATTTGATCACCTTTGCGGTTTTTACTTTTTGCGCTATAAACAAAAAAAGACCAAATTTATTTTTAAAAAAACTATATTTTTTACTTGTAGTTATAAAAAAATATCCAATAAACTCAAAGTTAGTCATACATTTAGGCCAAAATGTATTCTGCTACATGTCTTTGGTAAAAAAATCTCAATACATGTATATTAATTGGTTTGTGTGAAAGTGTCTGACTGCCTACCACATTTATTGTTCCATACAAACACTATACTAGTAATGGGGGTAATCAGCAAACTTTAGCGAGAGTGCGATAGTGTGCGGGCAATCTAACGCTAGCTAACCTTGGCTGGGTGGAGAGCTTACTGATTCTGACATTATCTGATGTCACTACTGGCAGGAATACAGTGATCAGTGAAAAATTTTATATACTGACACTGTACTAATGGCACTGGCTGGGTGATGGGGTGATCAAATGGTTAATAGGGGCAATCAAAGCGTTAAATGTGCTAATCTAACATATGCGTGTAAAATGTAGTGCTTTTACTCGGTGCCATGTTCTCTCTTCTCCCCCTGGACCAACCAGGGGGGCACAGGCGCATTCACAACACCCCAAAACAGGAAGTGACACAAGATTACATCAATTTACCAAGAGATGCCTGCAAAATGCGGGTAAGCGGTTGGCAAGTAGTTAAAAAAAAAAAACCTTAAAAAAAAAATTTCAATATGGCATTTCTATTTTTTACTATACTTTTATCAGAATAGTACAATGTTACCATATTAACATTGTACTACTGTGGGGGGGGGGGGGTGATCAGGTATAATTTTTTCATTTTTACACGTTATTTTGCAGGAGAAATAAAGATCATTTCTCCTGCAATGCAAAGGTTGCTGTCATGAACCTAACTCAATCATGAGCTGTCATTTGATAGTGATCTGTGATTGGCTGGAGCTGGTCACATGGTACAGGGTGCTGTGATTGGCCACATGTATCATTTGACAGGTGTGGGCCAATCACAGCTCACTAGGAAGAGAAGCAGAGCTGTTATGAATGAGATTGATTCATAACAGCTTTGCTTACATTGTGATCGTGTGATTGCATAGCGATCACATGATCACCGGGTCCCGTTCACTGGGATCTTCATTCCGCTGTGTCCGCCGGACACAGCAGATATGGGGGGGGGGGTACATCAGTTATGGGGGGGTACATCACTTCGCCTGTAGCTGCCGCCCGGGAGCAGTACATTGTGGGCGGGTGGGTGGGCAGGAAGTGGTTAAGCAAAACGGGGGGGGGGGAGGGGTGTGCAGAGGTAAGCAGAAAAGGAATTAGGTTAGCACTGAAATTTGGATGCAAAGGTGTGGTTAATGATGTATGTCATGTATAGGGCAGCCCATTCATTTCAATGGGCTGCTCTATGTACTGGAAATGTAGAAAAAAAGTCCTTGACCCTTGTTCAAAGTTACACCGAGCCACACAGTGCCACAGCACTGTGAACTTTGCTGCATGTAAAAAAAGCATCAGCAGATGCATGAGGGTGTCATTAGCAATTAAGGGCTGTGTATCTGCTAAAGGGCAGAATGTTTCTGTGGTGTCAGGAAAGCTATTTTGCATGTGTTCCTGACACGCACTAATGTGAACATTGGCTAAATGTCTCAATTACATTGGTGGTCAGTGTATATATTCTCACTACATTGGGGCATGGTGTAGAATCCTTTCATTCACACTTGTTCCTCTTACATTGGTGGTCATTGTAAATCCCTCCTTAAATTGGTGGTTACCTTGAATGCTCCTATTACATTAGTGCTCAGTGTCAATCCCCTTTACATTAGTGGCCAGTGTAGAAACGCCTCTTTATGTTGGTAGTCAGTAAAAAATCTTAACTTGCATTTGTGATCAGTGTCGAATCCTTCCTTATAATGGTGGTCCATGTAGAATCTCCCCTTAAATTGGTGGTCAGTGTAAATTCCACCTTACATTGGTGACCAGTGTAGAAATGTATTGGTTCTTGGTGTAAAAATTCCCCATTACATTGGTTGTCAGTGCAAATTCCCCCTTACACTGGTGATCAGTGTAAATCCCCCCCTAAATTGGTCATTAGTGGAAATCCCCCCCCTCTAACATTGGTGGTCAGTGTAGAAATGTCACTTCCCACCCCCATCTAGCACTGCCACTGATCCCATCCACCCCAAGCACTGCCACTGATCCCATCCCCCACCAGCACTGTCACTCATCCCATCCCTCCAGCACTGCCACTTCCCCCCCCCCCCACCACTGCCACTGATCCCACCCCCCCCACCACTGCCAGTGATTCCATCAAGCCCCCCAGCACTGCCACTAATCAAAATCCCCCCTCCCAGCACTGCCACTGATCCTGGGAGTCCTAGGATCCCTTGAAGTTTTCTGTCTATTGGTGTGTCCCCTAATTTTCTCAGTCCATGGTGTGCAGGCAGTGAGGAGATGATGTGTTGTATCCTTCAACAACCAATCAGTGGGATGTAATTAAGTGCTGTAGCCTCTAGCAACCAATCAGTGAGCTGTAATGATATGCTGTAGTCTCTAGCAATCAATAAGTTGTAATGATGCACAGTAACCAATAACAACTATTCAGTGAGCAGTAATCATGTGCAGTAACCTTTAGCAACAATCTGAGCAGTAATGATGTGCAATAACCTCTAGCCACCAATCAGTGAACTGTAGTGATCTGCTGTAAGCTCAAGCAACCAATCAGTGAGCAATAGTGATGTGTAGTAACCGCTAGTAACCAATCAGTTAGCAGCAATGATGTTCAGTAACCTCTAGCAAACAATCAGTGAGCAGTAATACCACGTACCTGGTGATGGAGGCCAATGGAGAGAGGGCTTCCCTTGCGGCTAAGTTCTGGACTCCCCTGAGAGTGGGACAGCGGGAGTCTGGCCCAAAGTTGCACAGGTCGCCTGTAGCAGTGCTGGTTGTTGGTCCACTCAGAAGCACAGCTGGTGCACAGAGACAGATCTGCAGACAGGAGGCGCCTGTGCGTGGTATGCAAGCCCCTCCGGGATTTGGATGTTCACAGGGTAGTCGGTTCAAGCCAAGGTCAGGTACCAGGTGGGAATCAGAGTGGTTGTAGTCAGATGGGATAGCCGAGGTCCTTCACAGAGAAGCGAGAGAGAGAGAGTATCCGTTAGCCAAGCCGAGGTCAGAACAGGGGTAAATCAGAGTAGGCAGGTCCAGGAGCAAGCTGAGTCGGTAACAGGAAATCACAAGTCAGAATCACAGGAAACAGGAACCAGGAACAGGGCACGGGGAGCTAGAGATCATCCAGCAACTAGAGGAAGTGATGAGCCTCCTTATAAAGGCCGTCTGGCACCAGCCTGAGGCTGATGTGTACTTCTGCGGCCATGTAGAGTACTGGCAGAAACGCCAGATCTTCCAGAACTCCTGCCGTGGACAGGACCCTGACAAGTAATAATGTGCAGTAACCTCTAGCAGCCAATCAGTGAGCGGTAATGATGTGCAGTAACCTCTAGCAAACAATCAGTGAGTGGTAATGATGTGCAGTAACCTCTAGCAACCTATCAGTGAGCAGTAATAATGTGCAGTAATCTCTAGCAACCAATCAGTGACCAGTAATGATGTGCAGTAACCTCTAGCAGCCAATCAGTGAGCGGTAATGATGTGCAGTAACCTCTAGCAACCTATCAGTGAGCAGTGATAATGTGCAGTAATCTCTAGCAACCAATCAGTGACCAGTAATGATGTGCAGTAATCTCTAGCAACCAATCAGTGAGCAGTAAGGATGTGCAGTAACCTCTAGTAACCAATAAGCAAGCAGAAATCATGTGCTGTAACCTCTAGCAACCAATCAGTGACCAGTAAGGATGTGCAGTAATCTCTAGCAACCAATCAGTGAGCAGTAAGGATGTGCTGTAACCTCTAGCAACTAATCAGTGACACATAAGCTGTGCTGTAGCCTCCAGCAATCAGTCAGTGAGCAGTAATGATATGCTATAACCTCAGGCAACTAATCGCAGTCACTGCCTGATCTGCTGCATTGAACTGATTTTGAGTCTAGCTGCTATTTATTGTATGTCTCAGAGCAGGCCGAGAGCTAAATTGCATGGGGGTGGTCCAGGAAAATTTTTGCCCAGGGTCAAATCAATATTAAAGATGGCCCTGCCTGGTATATGAGCTGGTCATTATCCAAATGAGGAAACCTTGGTTAATAATTAGTTGTGGCCATATAATCGCAAGCTTGGTAATGGTACCAAGAGTCAAGATCTTTCAGATGTGGTCATTATAATTCTGCAGGACAGTACTGTTCAAGCTGAGCTTTATTGTCATGCAAGGCTACAAGGATAACAACTAGTATTTATTTAATTTCTGAGGGGGAACCCATGCTTTGCAGTCATATGAGAGTTCTATACCTCCGATTTCATGATCTGTATTGTGTCTGCATTTCAGCTATATTACTATAGTAATATAATTATAATAACAGCTTGCCAAGCAAACAAAAGCAGACAGACAGATGTGAACAACAACAGTCTGCCTCACAGCATAGCATACGAGTTGGAAAATGTAGGGCTTTTTCATTTGCATTTTGTGCTGGTCTATTAATATGTCTCTGTAAACTTGCATTCTCTCTAAGTGATGCGCTGTTTCTGTCCTCACAGTGATTACAGATGGATCCCTGGACAGACCATCTCTCACTGATGACATGGGAAGTGATGAGGACCTCTATGAAGATTTACATGTTTCCAGCCACCGGTATGGTGGAGGGGGAGAGCAGCTGGCAATAAACGAGGTACTTAAATTACACACCGTTCAGCTCTTCCATTTTTTAATTCTTTTTGTGTACTTTATTATTTGACCTATATTTATTATATGCATTTTTTTTAACTCTCGTGTCTCATAACATCATATTGGTCAAAAAGTGTAGAAATAATGGGGTTATATTTTGGTAGTGACTTCTTTAAATGGTGAAAAGTGAACCTGCCTCTAATGCACTACATTGTGTGATAGCAGGCCCACATAAGTGTCTAAACATTCTATTTGCGGTTTATTTAAATGGTCCCCTTGACTCCAGGTAGCCTGTAAATCTGTGCATAACATCCGCAGATTTTGATGTCTTACCAATTTGAGGAATTTGTTACAGCAGCCCCTATGTTGAGAAGTCCCACATTCCCCCATGCTATCTGGGACAGAAATGCTGCTTCCATTTTTGCATTAGCATTCTGTATCACAGAGTCTCTTCAATACCACCTAACATGCTTTCTAAGAAGTGCACTCAGAGTGCTTAACACATAGCCACATGCAACCGTTCTGGAGTAGGAGTCAGCAGGGCTAGTCTTTGGTTAAATGGCATCCTGTGCAGACTTTTAGTCTGTTGCTCCCCCTAGTGAGAAAAGCAGGCTTGGTTAAATGCCATGGAACCACTTCCACTGAAGATGACATCAAGAAAAGTGGCCTTGTGGCAACATTTCTGATTCCCCACATTCTGGCTTGCCATTGCAGCATACAATACCCATTGTAGAGATTGTCTCACTTTGTCAGAGGGGAAGACTTTTGACAGTAGATCTATGGATTTGAAAATTCTTTTACATAGCAAGAATAAAAAAGAGGGAGTAGGAGAGCAAGTGCTCCAAATAAAAAGCAATACTACTGTAGAAGAATTCCTACTGAATGTTATTGAATTGTAACAAATGTTTTAAAGAAATAGAAAAAGCTTTTAGTGCCTGCCACAGGATGGTGCCCTTGCATCTGTTAGGTTGTATGTACAATAGTTAAAGGTGGCTATATGAATGGCATCCTTGGAGAGAAAAAAAGGCCTTACTGAGAATGAAGATGTTTAGCTTCAGGGATTAAGATGAGCTGAGTACTGAGAGGGAAGATAAATGCAATGAACGGGGCAAGGGCACAAGCCTTCTATTTCTTCTATAAGGTCATTTACACCTAGGAGCTGCAGACCCTATTTCTAAACCATGTGAATGCTGACAAACAGTGGCAAAGCTATAGCCATAACAGCCAACTCAGCTGCTATGGGGCCAGAGAGTGGAAAGGGAGCCCGCTAACCCACATGGAAGAAAAATATATTTGAAATATATTTAAAAAATATTCTTCCCAAATATATTGCCATATATTTGAAATGCTACAGTTTTGGCCATATTCAATATATTTCAAAATATATTTCAATAAATACATATATATATTTCATATATTTATAATATATATATATATATATATATATATATATATATATATATTGCATGCTGAAATGCATTTTTATTACAAAATATCTGAAAAATATTTTTAAAAATACATTTCAAATATACTGTATGTCTTCAAAAATACAAATCTACATTTTTGGAATGCAGTTACAAATTGTGTTTGTTAAAATTTATTTTTTATATGTTAAAAAAAATCTGAAGAATGTATTTTTAAAAAATATATTTTTACAAATATTTTTCATATATTTTGGAATATATAAACAAAATGCATTTCAACATGCAGTATATATATATATATATATATATATATATATATATATATATATATACTGTATATATTATTTATTGAAATACATTTTATTTTATATTGAATATGGCCAAAATTGTAGCATTTCAAATATATGTCAATATGTTTGGGAAGAATATTTTTAAAATATATTTCAAGCATATTTTTATTCCATATGGGAAGGGGGTTGTCTGACGTCTCCATTCCAGAAGAACCAACATCAGATGTACAGGATCATGGTGTTGTTAGACACATCTCCTTTGCATCCCACTTATCTGTCAGTAGATTGGATGCCTTGAGAGCTGCTGGTCATCCTGAATGACCTGTTCTGCTGCCCTTCTATGGCAATTTCTATCCACAGCACTGCTCCCTATTAGTTTGCTGACTGTCTTACCAGCTTTAGTGCTGTCTGTCTTTGGTTTAAACATACGTTATTGATCAGTTACACCATTGTCCTAATTGACATTGACATTTGTTACAAAGAGAAGTCCCTGGGGGGATCCCATTAAAATTTTGCTATGGGGTGTCATGAATTTTAGTTTCACCTCTGCTGTTATACCTAGAAACAAATGACAGCTAATCAGATCCACTTCTCATATATCATGAATCAACACAATTGTAGAATTGGTATATTGCAATGTTACCTTAGACAGGAGAATATTTTATTTTGGTTAGTCTTCTTCTTATTTATTCCATTTTAGAGAGGTTCATAACATAAAATCATTTCATCAGATAGTAGAAGTGTCATTTAAAGTGGTTAAAATTCTCTGCATCAAAGTAAAAATCTTTCCACTAGCTATTCTTCCCCCCCCCTAAAAACTTACCTGAGTCCTCTCACGATTCAGCTCTGCCCCAGGCTGCAGCAGCGCTGCTTTCTATTCCGGTCTCACTGGAGACTCTGAGAGCAGAGAGGGCCGTAGATTTCTGCTGCTGTCAGTCAAATCCTATGAGGAGGGATGGGGGGCATGGCTGAGCTGCACTGCATGTCTCTATGGACGCACACAGCGTAGCTCCGGAGTGCGCCTGCACTGATACCCCCATTAGCACACAACTTTCTGATGGGGTACCTGCTTAAAGGAGGGACTTCCAAAACAGAGATAAGAGACCACTGTGGGCAATACTATTGCTCAGTGTGGGTATGTATAACATCATTTTTTATTTTAAGTTAAAAAAATTGCCTTTAGTATCTTTTTAACACAATAAACTGTTCTGTAGTCCTCTTTTGGAGAACATGTCTGCTTGGAAGTCATTTTCAGTATCCTGAACACTAACAAACGTTTCATATACCAGTAAGAGACATGTACAGTGGTTCAGTCCTGCTACCTTGTTTGGCGCCTTTCCCCACTTTCCATTTGAGCATAACATACTTGATTTCCTAAAGTGTTACCAAACCCAGGACCTTACATTCAATATATCTGGTCTCCCACAGTACACAGAACATGGAAATGCAATTCTTTTAGTAAATATAAACTGCTAAATACCTTTTCTCATCAGAAGTTAGAGCAATCTTGTGACTTCTATCAGTGTTCAGCTAAGCACTAGCTAAAGCTTGTAGGAGGAGTTTTTCATTCTGCTGTAGGAGGATGCAAAACCCCTGACCTCTGTCTGACCAGTGCTGATTGACCATGTGCTGATCACATGCACTCTCCGAAGAAAAAAAACCCTCTATAGCAATACACACCAAACTGAGCATGTGCACAATACCTACGGTTCAGTCTGTCTTATCAGGAGATAAGAGTGGTCACTTGAAAAAGGGGAGGAACAGAGAAGAATGGATCAAACGGCCTTTTTACACAATGCAGATGATTAACCCCTTAGGTTCCACAGTGAGTATAACAAGCATGCTTTACTACATATACAGACTGATTTTACTGTTGTGGGTTTAGTAACACTTTAAATGTCCAGTATCAGTTATTCTCATGAATGATAACCATGAATAAACCTGAGCTGACAATAAACATAGTAGACTGCGAGTACATAATGGTACATACATGTGTGTTCAGATATGTTCCAGAGGATCCCAAGAGCCTTTAAAGCTGGGGTGACTAGTTATGCAAATATGAGATGTTTTAGAATCATCTTATTTGTTCCCGTTTCAATGGATTCTGTTTGAATGCTTGAAGCCCAGTGTGGTCTTCTAAGAAAGGTGACTTTTTTGGGGAATTACTTATTTGATTTAGTAGAGTTTTAATTAATTAGGTATATGATTTTGGTTGTTGTGTGATGGTTGTAGCATTTTCAGTGTAAGACACAAGCAGTTTTGTTAACTTTTTTTAAGAATAGGACAATAATTTATTTCTTCAAGTGCAGAACTGGCAATATCAATTTGGTTTTCTGAAGAGTGGAGCCCATCCTAATAATGAGTGCGGTGAAATATAAATAAAATTGTGCTAAGATTTTTGGCAGATTGTGGTTGAGCTTAGGTGTATATTATTTATTATCGAGATGAAAACTAAATGTATGTTGTAGCAAAGCTTATTAGGGTGTAAAATATTAACAATCACGGTAATTGATGGTAAATGGGTCATGTGGCATATTAACTACATTGTATGCAGTGCTCAGTGAGCTGCATTGTTTGAACTGCTTTGTAGAGATCTCCCCATGGGAAGCTCTTATCAGAGCTGTTCTAAGTGGTACCAAGACCGGGGGATTAAAACTTTGCAGATGGCCTGGGAACACCCAGGAATCCCTCAGGAGGAGCTGAGTCATTGGCTGGGCTCAGCTGTGCCAAGGGAAGTCTGGTGGGTCTGCCCAGCATGCCTCCCTCACCCACCACATAAAAATAAATAGCTTAGAAAAGGTGATTATAATAATGATGTATTGCCATACTATTCTGTTACAGTTAAAGATGTGAAAATAATTCTTGCATTATTCAGAAAGGTAGTCAAAAGGCAGTGTTGATATACAAAGTGTAATAACCTGGCGCAACCAATGACAATGCATTTGACTACAGTATATTGAATTCTGTTCTGTACTCTTCCTTTTGCATGTTATCACCACTTTTCACAGTACTTAAAAGGCCATCTGTGTTGCCCATAGCAACCAATCAAAACTTTTGATTAAAAATTTAAACCTTTCAATGTAACTTTTTACAGACCGGCCACTGTACATAAATGGCCAGTCAGCTCCCCTATTTTCCTGGGAAGATGTAGTGGTACGTCCTTCAGTAACAGAATGTGTAAGAGGAAAGAAAACCTCCTGACCACAAGCCAGCAACAGTGAAATCTAGAAAAAGTGCAAACAATAATAAAATACACCTCTATAATGTTATCCACCCCTCCACAGTATATGTCAGCCTCATCCTGTCTCTGATCTGACTTGTATATTAATCCCTCACCACCCTTATCCTCCACATCAAGTTATATTGCAAGAATTTTATCAAACGCTGTTGCAGATCTCTACCTATTTCTGCTCTGAAGAAATAGCTGTTTGACCATGTCCTGTGCAGACTGATTATGAATGGAAGGGTCTAGTTCATTTTAATCAGCTGGTGCCAGGGGCGGACTGACCATTTGGAAACTCGGGCACTGCCCGAGGGCCCGGGGTCAGTAGGGGGCCCCATGAATGCCCCTGGTACCTTTTCCATAGGCTTTTTTGAGTTTGTGCAAGGACACGGGGGCCCCATGATCTCCTATTGCCTGGGGGCCCCATGAGTTGTCAGTCCGCCACTGGCTGGTGCACTCTCACAGTGGCTGTATCCCTTTAGAAGTAATTAACTCTTAGGCTAGGTTTACACCTATGAAGTTTGATCCTTTTCTGCAGTACGATTTGCATTTTTGCACATGCATTTTTGTTGCGTTTCGCTTTTTTTCTTGTTGCTAGCCAGATTAAAATGCAAAACGCATCACAAATGCAGCAAAACCACACTACATGCTTTTCTGCAGCTTCTCCATTGAAGTCTATAAAACCAAAAGTGCAACATTTGCGTTTAAAAAGTCCCTGATCTTTTCCAAAAAATGCACCAGGTGAAAACGCTGAGATGTGAATGTGTCCCATAGGAAATCATGTTAAATGGACTGTAGTGCGTTTCTGCAAAACACAAAACGCTGAGGAAAACGCTTAGGTGTGAACCTAGACTTAGGAAGTTTCTCACCAAAAATGACACTCCTGCTGCAGAGGATAACGAATAATTCCTGCCTAACATTTACTAGATTAAAAAATATCCTCTCCCCTCTCCTGCTACCTACACCAACTAACCTATGTTAAAGAAATGTGTATACCTACCTATTTTCAGCCTGCCTCAGTCCAGTCATGTGATCGCGTTCCTCCATGTTAGTCAGCTGCAGGGGAGAGGAAGGACCACCGACATCTGCTGGGACATGGGAGCCTAGGGGTGATGCCATTGCTCCCAGAATTCTCAGCTGACTGACACAGGGGTTCACGTGACAGGACTGGAGCGAGTTGGAAAAAAATAAAAATAAAAAAATAATACATATATTTAGTTTTATTTTTACACAGGTAGGTCAGCATAGGTAGAAGAAGCAGAGAGGGGACTTTGTGTTAAGCAGGAGTTCTACTTTAAAGTATATGTAAACCTTCACCTTGTGAAACAAGCCATTCAGTTGAAAATAGAAATGAAAGGCAAAACATTTATAAATACATATAAAATAGCCAGTTGGTACTGACTCTGAGGAAGATGTGTAGCCTCAAAACACATCAGGAATTTGGAGGTCTATAATCCCATTTTAGACACCATCCAGGGAGATTGGTCCGTGCTGTATTTCGTATGATGTGCCTTTGATTTTTATCCTTTTGTGAGTGCTGTATACCACTTTTTATACAATAAACCAATTTTCTTAGGTAATGCACTAGGCCAGCGTGCCCTCTGTTAGTTTTTTTGAATGCAGTTCATTTGGATTTCCCTGGTCCATTGAGGGTAGCAACGCATGCATCCTATAGGCATCCTATGTGTGGTTACAGTCACTGTGGAGTCCATCGTCCAGTGTGGGAGTCAAAGCATTTGCTTGTTGCTTCTGTGGGAAAGGGGGGCTGTCAGCACAAGTCTTATCATTGAAATAGCTCCTAGCACAACTAGAGAACTAACCACGCTGTGCTCTCCTGCCCAGTGTGGTCAGCTTTTCGTAGGAAAGCAGAAGGACTGGAACAGGATACTTTTTCATATAAGTACATGGTACAGTAGGTACATACCAGGAATATGAAATGTTGGGTTTACATTTTTTTTGAAAGCTGACTTTTATCTTAGTGGAAATTTCTGTGAAAAGTATTGAGCCAATCACACGAGAAGGAACATTTTTGGAAGCGTTTTGTATACCAACAATGTACAGTACTCCTGTTTTTCAGTTTTTTTTTTTTTTTTTTTTTAATTGAATTGAACTTTACAGAACATGAGTTTGAAAAGGAAAGGTAATTTTCGATAACATTAAATGACAATGTGGTTTGTGTAGCAATTGTACAATATTTGCTACATTATGTTTTTATTTGCTATATTTTTTTTCCCATGAAAGTGGAGTTACCTTTTCCTGTATCTAGTGCACCACTACCAAGGGCCATGTTTTAACCCCCTCATTACCAGCATATTACTTCATTTTAAAACAATTTGTAAAAAATCAGATCACCTTGGGATATTTACAGTATTTTCCATAATGGGGTCAATTTAGGGGTGTTCATTCTGCCTTGACATTTGTTTTTGCTGTATTTTAAAACAAAGTAAGGGAAACATTTTTTTTTTCAGATTTTGTTGGCCTTTATCTATAAAATGTATATACAGTATTTAAAAAAAAACACTGGTTGTTAAATACCACCAAAAGCAAGATCGTTCAAAAAACGATATAAAGTATATATATATATAAAATTAATATATTCATATACTTCATTTTGGTACAGTGCTGCATGACAGAAATTGTCAGTCAAACTATTGGAGCACTGAAAAATGAAATGTGCTGGTACTGAAGTGGTTAACAAAATCTAAAACATTGTTAGGCTCCATGTATATACGGATGTTTGGAAAACACTTCTGAACGATGAAAACTGACTGCTGGAAAATGTCTGTTTAGCCGTGTTTATGCGTGTTTATGTGCGTTTGCGTTTAGAAGCGTTTTTTTTAAAGATAACCTCAGGAGATCTTCCAAAATGCCCAGAATGCACTGAAAAACAGTAACAAATTAACTATTTCAGACATTTTGAGAGACATAGAGAGAGCAGAAGCAGAGAGATCAGTATGTGTTGAAATTACCTATCTTTTCTGGATGTATTCACTATGGATCCCATCATGAGCATAATGTGGCACGTTCTACTATTTTTTCCTTCACGCAAAACCTGGAACTGACTGCGCTGGTATGCTAAGTCTATTTGAATACATGGAAAATGCTTTGCATGCATTTCTGATGATAAAAAAAAAAGGCTCTGCATATGAAACAGTTAAAAAAACTCTTCTAAACGCAAAGGCTTATAAACGCAGTAGCCGCGTTTACAAGCGTTTGGCTTTTGAAGCGCTGATAAAATCTTCTCCTGAACGCAAATTTGGTGTGGTCAAAAAAACGACTGTAAAAACTCAACTGCCTGTAAATGACTGTAAACAACAGGGGCCCCCGGGCAATAGGTGATCATGGGGCCCCTGTGTCCTTGCCCAAACTCAAAAAAGCCTATGAAAAAGGTACCAGGGGCATCTCATGGGGCCCCCTACTGACCCCGGCCCTCAGGCAGTGCCCGAGTTTCCAAATGGTCAGTCCGCCCCTGACATGGACACATAGGAAAACGTTAGGGAGAGTTCAGGGGCTGCTGAAAAAAAAAAAACACAGAAAAGCTGCTAAACGTGAGTTTATCAGCTGAAGTGTACATGAGCCCTAATACTGAATGAAAGAGAGTATCTGATTCCTACAAAGCAACACGTCAATTAAGACACTTGCCATTGAGACTATTTCTTGTGTTGCTTAGTCTAAAATTTCACAAAACAGCATCTGCCTTGTGCTTGTAAGGCTTGCTGGGACGTGTAGTTCCACAACAGATGGCAGCTTAAGCTTGGTAACAGCACTCAGCTAGCTGTGCCCAGTACAGCTCAACTGGAGAAATAGGCTCAGTCTGCAGCTCCTTCTAATTGAATGGCTTAGACAGCCTGCACACATTAATCCCAGTCTCTTGATATGTATGCCAAAGCACATAAGGTGACGGCTAGATCAGTCGTATAGCTTTCTGCTATTTTTTTTTAATGAATTCTACACCATAAGCCGAAGCAGTCATTTAACAAAAACAATCTTCTGGAGCCATTTCTAATCTGTTTCAGTATGTCGGCGTACACCTTTCTTCCTTAACCCCTTTTAAACTGATGCGTTTCCTAGATACCATAGTCTGCAGTCAGCTGATTGGCTATAGAGAAAGCCAGTAACTCCCTGTCGACCACTGCTCCACAATGTACGGCGTTTCTGGTAGAGGGATTTCTATACCTCCATTATCCTACTAAGACTGGGAAACATCTATGCTGCTTCTATTAGACTGCAGATGACTTGCTGCAGAGAGGGGATGGAATGCTCTGGGTTGATTTGCTGAATCCTGAAGAAAGGTAATCATTTGTGCCGCACGCACAGCCAGCCTCCACAGAAGACTATGCGGAATAAATAGATCTACCGCCTCTGACAGCTGCACAGCCCCGTCTTTTTGTTTGCGGCCAGCAGCCATTAGGATCTGCACTATTTGCTTATCTCAGGCCAAGCTATGGCAAGGGACCGAGCCAGACAAAAATGGAGCACCCTTCACGCCATCCTTCGCTGCAACATGAACCCCGAAACCCAGCGCATCGTGGTCTTTGTCATCCTGCTCTTTCTCATTTTTATTAACGTTGTGCTCATGTTCCTCCTGGCCTTCTCTTGAGTCAGCCTTGGACTATCTCTCCGGAAGCCAGCATCTGATCAGCAGGTCAGCTTGCCATTGTCTGTCACCAGGTCTCCTGGTCACCTTGACGATGCGTCTGGTACCAAATAATCGCAGCCGACACTTGTGCCTTGAAGACATGCCATTCACAAGATGGAGAGACTTCATTACATAACTGCTGGCACTGCCTTTGTTCCTGCACAATACAATAGTGTTTTTTTTTTGTCCGTTTACATTTACATGCTTGTATTTTTTTTGTGTTAAAATGGCGGTTTTCGAAAAAAAAAAAATCAAAAACAAAACAAAAAAAAAAAAACAGGTACATACAAAGAGATGTTCACAGATATTGGCCTTGGAATGGTCCTTATCCAGGACATTGTGTTTGTTATGGAGCGTCAGCCATAGATTCTCTTCAGGTATTCCAAGAGTACAGAAGACAGGAGCCAGTACCTAACAAGAGCTGTACTACTCTCATCCTCGTTGGGTTCCGGCATTTTTGTAACTGTGAAACCTTATCGTATGCTGGTTCATTATTGCACAGTGACAGATGCCTCAGAGAACCACACAGGCACATTCCTCCTCAGCTAGCATTGATTCCACGCCGTCTTCTTTGGCTGCCATGCACAGGACAGATCTACCATTTATTTCTATTTATTCCATTTTTTTTGTATTTCCTATCGTATCTCCATACATGGACCTGTTATTTTTTTTTTTTCTATACACAAAGTAAAAAGAAGCAGTCAGGAAAATACAGCGTGAAAACCGTTAACAAATACCCAGTGTTGAGTTATAGCCAAAAAAGCCTTATGACTGCTTTTTACCATAAAGAACAATGAAGGATGTAGTATTATTTACACAACACATGCCTTCCGGTATGGAGGATTCGGGGTTATTGTAGCAGGGCACATACAAGTAGATTTAGTCTTATTTTGATGCTAGAAAGGCATTTTTGTACGCTTTGTCTGTTGTTAGAGATGATTACGTGGCAAGTCTTTTTTCCCTTGTGGTTTTGGAAATGGTAATGTTATTAAGGTCAGGTTATCATGGCACGTTAGGTCGATTTAAATGTCTTCTGCATTTATTAGCCTGACTGCCAGGGTGGGCCATCTGTCAGTGTATGCTTTCACTGTACGACTCCTCTATTGTCCTCGTTTAAACAGATCTTTTGAGAATCAGGAATCTCCAATCTACTTTCACTATTTTATGTTAAAATCTCATTCAGTCATTTTGAGTATAATATGTATGGTGGGTATTGG